CCCGCCTGCTGTCATTCTGGACACCATGCGGCTGGAACATCGTTGCAATAGAGGGGCCACAATATGATGAAATTTGAGGATTTGCTTCAGAACCCACAGCTCCCTTTTGCAGGCATGACCATTTAAACAAGGTTCCCGATATAAGTATTTGGGTCTGTACATTTTACCTGTTCTTTCCCATTACAGTCAATTGCCACAAGAAATTCCAGATAATCAAGGATGCCATTGTTTAAGGTCTACAGAACTCCCAGGACTTAAGAGATGGCAATGATCATCCAGGTGAGGAATTTAAAGCCCGGAGCAGTCATTAGTTTCCCTCAGAGATTAGGACTTGACTTGAAGCTCTGAAGCTTCATGACCCAGTGCTCTTTCATCACTTTCAGCTAATATTTAAAGTTTTATTGCATATACTCTTGGATCTTTTCTTATTGAAACAGAAGCATTTGACAGAGCATCACTTAAAACATTCACTAATCTTACCCTTGATTTTCTGTCAACTTGCTTTACAGGACTGCATTAAGTCATAAAGCAAAGATACTTGATTTACTGTCTTTCTTCTATTAAATTTTTTATCGTGTATCTACATTGTGTTAGGATACGAGCTAGGTGCTTAGAGTACAAGATGAAGACACTTTGTGAGGCAATTTGGTGTGGTAGTCAAACATACTGGGGCTTGAATCCAAGTACTGCCATTTATTAGCCAAGTACTGCCCTTAGGAGGGCTTCCCATGTGGTGCTAGTGGTAAAGAACTGACCTGCCAGTGTAGGAGACGTAAGATCCCCTGGAGGAGGACATGGCAAACCACTCCAGTATTCTTGCCAGGAGAATTCCATGGACAGAGGAGCCTGGCGGGCTACAGTCCATGGGGTCACAAAGAGTCGGGCGTAACTGTAACGATTTAGCATACACACACACACTGCCCTAAGGGACAGTGGGTTATTGTTAGATTCATGTATTCATTCACAAACATTCAAAGACTGCTTCAGTAGCACACCTGTGGTGAAAGAATAGCTAATACCACAGTAAACTGGTGAGATGTTACAAGAGTGTGACAATGGGAAGAGGCCAGAATTTGAAGTCCTGTGCAGTGATATGTTTCCAGCGGGGCAAGAATGGCATGGTTGTCTCTCAGCAGCACCTGGAAGAGAGAGGGCACAACCTGTAGGGGATTTACAACCCACATCAGTGTGAAGACATGGTTTTCCAAGAGGCTAGTGAAAAAACAAGGTCCCTTGAATCCTGGTGTTCAGGCTTTCTTCAGGTTTTCAGAGACATGATAGCAGCCTGAACATTACAGTCAGAGAGGTCTGGTCCTGTCACAGATGTTAGCCAGGGCGCGTGTCAAACCTCGAAACTCAGGGCTGTCCTGTGGGATAAACAGAACCACTCCCTGTAGTTCCAAGGTGGGACTGAATCTTTGTAAAAGCATCTTAGTGTTATTGTCCTCGCTGTTGCTCCTCCTCCCTTTATGTCAGATGTAGCAAGAGGAAAATGAGTTAGAAACCCTCTTGGCTCTCAAGGGTGTGCTTTAGTCTACAAATGGAAAATTACCTACACTCTGCAAATGTGAAAAGAAAGAGAAATTGTAACTCTTTTGAGTGGATGGAGGAGTAAGGAGCCTTCTTCCTTGCACTCAGGCACACTGGGTACTGACTAATAGAAAGTTTTATGGGATTTGTATGTGAAGTTAAATGAGTGATGACTCAGGAAGCCACGGTGAATGAGTGATTGTGAACCAGGCAAAATATTTCTGTGTACTCCTTTCTAGTTTTTTATTAAATGAGTCACAGAAAGGAAATATGAAACTGACTCCATAGAAGCCAATCTGTTAAGTAAAAAACCAACCCAAAGCTTAACAGCAGAAAAAAATGACCATAAATTACTCTCCCAAATGGGAACTTGATGACAGTGTGGGGCTAGTGTTCACTGCTTTCAAAAGCAAGAAAAATTGAGCTACAACCTCTCTTTCTTCTCAGATAGTAAAGAATGAAATTGGAGTTGGAAAGGAAAATTTTTGAAGCTGGTTTATTTTAAATGAATCCAACAGTGCTGTGTGGTCCCATGTGCCAGAGACCAACATTCCACCAGATTCATGGTCTAGATGGTTCCAATGATTTAATTCTATGTAAGAACAATTCCACTCTTCCCAGGTAGCGCTAGCGGTAAAGAACCTCTGCAGGAGATGGAAGAGACTTGGGTTTGATCCCTGGCTCAGGAAGATCTGCTGGAGGAGGGCATGGCAACCCACTCCAGTATTCTTTCCAGGAGAATCCCATGGACAGAAGAGACTGGTGGGTTACAGTCCATGGCGTCTCAAAGAGCCGGACACAACTGAAATGACTTAGCATGCATGCATGTGAGAAATAATCCCAGTCTTCATTGGCTTAAAACAATTAACTGTCCATCATATCTTATAATGCCTTAGATACTTCAAGATAGGCGCATCTGGGTAGTTCTTCTGTGCCACGTGGCATTGTCTGTAGGCACTTGCTGGTATCCATCTAGCAGAAGGGCTAGTCTGGAGGGTCCAAGATGGCCTCACTCATGCACCTTGGCTGGGGCCACTGGAAGGCTGAGCTCCACTGGGACTCTGGAACAGAACACCTACACATGGCATGGCTCAAAAGGCAGTCTGAGGATAGTCAGATTTCTTCCATGGCAATTTAGAGCTTCTGGAGTGAGGATCAAATACCATGAGTGATAGCTGAAAGCATTCACACACGAAAGCTCAGCCCTCAGTCCCAGAACATCAGTTCTACCACATTCTATCATTGGTCAAGCAACTCACCAAGTGCAGCCCAGTCTGAAAGGGAAAAGAGTGAGAACTGGCCTCTTCAAGAAAGGAGTATCTGAGAATTTGTGGCCATATTTATTTGATTACAGAGACTAACTCCTGGGTTATAAATGCTAGGGGACAATTCAGACTCAAGTTTCTCATTATAAACTATCGTTTAGCTCTGGATAAGCATCTTTTTATGTATTCTGAGGGCCTCTTCCTGCAATCATTCATTACTCTCTGCCCAAGAGTTTTCTCTGGCCACAGGGTTTTTCTCAGCCCAGTTGAGGATCAAGCTGGAAGACCTGGTGCTTAATGCTTGCCAGTGAAGGATGGAGATGGAAAGTCAGTATTGTTGCGTTATAGAAAATCATCGTGTTGGACTCATTTATCACTGAGGCTGTTGAGAAACTCTGACACACGGTGTTGAATGCAAGCACTGTTAATGAACATGCCTGTTTAGCTCTGAGATGAAGAAACAAAACATGAACAGTCACCCCAGAAAACACCATGTTCCCTCATCCTAACTACTACCCCTCTCCTGGGGGCTGCCACTCCCCTGACTTCTAACCCAAGATTGGTTTTGCCTGCTTTTTTTTTTTTATTATTAATTTTTATTGGAGTATAATTGCTTTACAGTGTTGGGTTGGTTTCTACTCTACAACAAAATGGATCAGCCATGCATATACATATCTCTCATCTGTGCTCAGTTGTGTCCAACTCATTGTGACCCCATGGAGTGTAGCCCTCCAGGCTCCTCCGTCCATGGGATTCTCCAGGCAAGGATACTGGAGTGGGTTGCCATTGCCTTCTCCAGGGAATCTTCCCGACCCAGGGATTGAACCCACATTTCCTGCAGCTCCCGCATTGGCAGGAGGATTCTTTATCACTAGTGCCACCTGGGAAGCCCTTATACAAATGTCCCCTCACTTTTGGACTTCCTTTTCATTCAGGTCACCACAGAGTGGAGTAAAATGGAATGAAACTGGGTCATTGGTTTTGCCTGCTTTTGAACTCTGCCCACATGGAATTGTATAGCATATGCTTTATGGAGTCTGGCTTTTCTCACTCAACATTATGTTTAATCAGCTGTTAAAATCACTGGTACATGTAGCGGCTGTAGAGTGTCCCTTTGTCTAATATGCCACAGTTTACTTTTCAATTCTGTTTTTCAGCTATTGACTGGCATTTGGGTGGATTTCTGGTTTGGGCTCTTATGAACATGTATGCTGGTGGAAACAGAGAGCATTTCTTTGTTTGGCATGAACTGAGAAGTGGAGTCTCCCAAGTCTTCTTTGGAAATGCATTTTCCCTTCCTTTTCATACACTAGAACTCTGCTCATCTTTGCCCCTTTACTTATGTCTCTCTTGAGCTACTGCAACACTTTCTGGTTTAAGTAGATCCATTCTCCAGTCTACCTGTTTACTCTTTCATCACAGTTACTCTTCTAAAACTGATATGGCTTGATGTCCCTCTTCTAACCCCAAAACATCTGGTGAATCTTCACTATCTTCAAAACAGAGAGCAGTGTGGGGGCGACTGCCACACACATTTCTGCCAGCTTCCGCTGACCTCTGCATCCTCTGGCACAGTCTGTTGATTGGTCATATTATCTTATTTACAGTTCCTGAGTCACAGGTGGCGCTAGTGGTAAAGAACCTGCCTGCCAATGCAGGAGACATAAGAGACATGGGTTCGATCCCTGGGTCAGGAAGATCCCTTGGAGAAGGGCTTGGCAACCCACTCCAGTATTCTTGCCTGGAATATCCCATGGAGAGAGGAGCCTGGAGGTCTACAGTCCATAGCGTTGCAGAGTCAGACATGACTGAAGCGACTTAGCATACATGAATGAGTCACACCAATACTGTTCTTTGGGGGTATTTGTTCAGTCTAAAATACTTGCTCTTCATTTTCCAGTTCTCAAAGTTTTAGACAAATGTTTGGAGCACAAAATAACAGTTGCTGTAGAATTACCAGTGGATCCTTGGTGACAGAATGTGTGCATGCTCAGTCATGTCTGACTCTTTGTGACCCCATAGACTGTAGCCCCCCAGGCTCCTTTGTCCATGAAATTTCCCAGGCAAGAATACTGGAGTGAGTTGCCATTTTCCCCTCCAGGGGATCTTCCTCACCCAGGGATCCATCCTGCATCTCCTGCATGGTAGGCAGACTCTTTACTACTGAGCCACCAGGGAAGTCAGCTGTGCAATAAGTATTGGCACCTCTTGACGAACTCATCCTCTCTCCGCTTCTCCTCCACCCCAACTCAGTCAAATACACTTCATGCTGGCTCAGCTCAACTCGGAAGCCACCTTCATATCCTCCTGCCCTCCTCCTCTCCACATGCAACTCCTGAAGGGGTTCCAACCACCTGCTTTCTCTGCAGAACTCATCCCAGCTCTGACTCTGGCTCCTTCCCGCTATCGGTCTTGTGCCAGCTTCAGCACCCCAAGCTTGGACCGCCCTGACACCTCCCTGTCTTCCCAGCCAGACCCTTGCTCCCTGCAGTCAGCTCTCCACAGCAGCCCATGGGATTATTAAAAATGAACCCATTCCACATCATCCCACAATTCTGAAAACCCTCAAGTGTTTCTGACTTTACCTGAAATCAAACCCAGCCTCCTTACTGCTGCCTAGAAATCTGCACAATGGAATTTCTCTCATCAGTGTCTTCTTTCCAAATGTTACTTCCTCTGAGATGGTGCCCGGGCCCCTCCAGCTCACTTGTTACCCCCTTGCCCGGATTTAATCTCCAGACCACAGTTTCCACAGGGTGGCCTGGCGTGCTGCAGTCCAAGGGGTCACAGAGAGTCGGACACACCTGAGCGGCTGAACAACAGCAGCTACTGTCATGGCTGAAATAATACTTGTCATTTGTTTGTGGTCTTCTCTCATTGACATGTCAGCCTGAATGGCAGAGCTTCGTATGGGTCATCTCTGCAGCCCCAAGGAACATCATGGTGACTGCCCATAGTAGGCACTGAATAAATACTTGTTACGTGAGTGAATATGTGAATGAATAAATAGATAAATAAATACCCAGCACCACACTTCCTCTATTCATATCAGGACTTCGGATGAAGGCTTTCACTCCCCTGCCATTGTCTACAGCAAGATCGACTTGCTCCTTCCTCTCGAATAATTTATATCAACTTTTCACATACTACTTATTTCAGTCTGATAAACGTAATCAGCTTACTTGTCAGCCTCCCCTGTGGGTGACAGGCTCCTGAGTGCAAAGCCTCTCCACGCAAGGCCATCTCTGTGTCCTGAACAGACAGACCCTGCACATGGGCTTCCACCCTTCCCAGGTTGTTGGTGCTTCATGGAGAGCTGTAGTGTGCGTTATAGGAAATGATTCTGCAATCCTTGGTTTTAACAAGAGGTGCCTGTGATGTCCCTGGTTCTCTTATGTGAATGTGAAGGATAGGTACACAAAGAAAATGCCACCTTACGCAGAACCCACAAACATTTGTTTATTTATATATTTATTCATTCATTCATCAGACAGCATTTACTTTTTAATAACCAAAGGGAGTAATACAGACTCAGGGACATCTTTTCTCTTTTGAGATTTTTCTGGTAGGACATCTCATGAGAACTAAAGATGCTTCATATGTAAAGAAAGAAATAGAACTAATGTTTCAAGCCATATTTCAGTTATTTTAACAATCAACTAGAGGATGAGATGGTTGGATGGCATCACCGACTCGATGGACATGGGTTTGGGTAGACTCTGGGAGTTGGTGATGGACAGGGAGGCCTGACGTGCTGCGGTTCATGGGTCGCAAAGAGTCAGACACGACTGAGTGACTGAACTGAACTGAAGGTTTCTTTCTTTTTCCCCTTTATTATTCTGCCATCAAGTAAATAGGACAGATAATCAGCTCATCAGAATAACAAAAAGAAATCTGAGGTAAAATCCTATGAAGTAGTAAATTCCTATTTTATTGCAAATGTAAAAAGTAGCAAAGCAGATATTTCATTGATATATGAATTTCTTTTAAGTCCCATGTTAATTTAGATATCATAGCCCTAGCTCTAAAATGATTGGAGGCATACAGGTATGTATAGAACTTTGGTCATATCTCAAATCATTTCATCATATTTCTAAAGCCTTCCCAGATGGCATTATTGGTAAAGAATCCCCCTGCCAATGCAGGAGACACAAGAAACAAGGGTTCAAACCCTGGGTCAGGAAGATCCCCTGGAGGAGGAAATGGCAACCCACTCCAGTATTCTTGCCTGGAGAATCCTATGGACAGAGGAGCTTGGTGGGCTATAGTCCATAGGGTTGCAAACAGTTGGACATGACTGAAGGGACTTAGCATGCAGGCATGCATGCTGAAGTCTACAAAGTGACAATAACTTGTTACAAGAGTGATATTCCAGTAATAAACATCTCTTTGGGGAACATCACCCTAACATTTAACCATTTATAGTTAAGGGGATATAGCTGTGACACATCTAGTGCTTAAAAGCGTCTTTCCTTTGATGACAGACAACATCTTTCTCCAGTCTGGCCTCACTGTTTACTAGCAAAATAAACTTGGATGAATTATGAGGCTTTGATGAGGGTTCTTGGTTATAAGCAGCAACTAAGACTCTGGCTTACTTAGACAGGGAGGGAGTTAATTAAAAGGATAACATACAGGAAGGTTGGGAAACCAGGGAGTGGAAAACACAAAACAACAGGGAAACTAGCTGGAACCACAGCCTACATCCTGCCCCATAAACATCTATTGAGGGGCTGCAGTCACTATGCCTGGACCCTAGCGCCACCACCACACCAGACACCCCCATGGTCACCCTGGACTTGGATGTCATAGCAGTGACAGTGATGAAGAGGCCCAGGTCGGTCCTTGGTCTTCTCATCGCCATCTACACTCAATCTCTCATCTCACCTGGTCTCATGGCTCTAAACATTATCCCTATGATGCTAACTCCCCAGTTTACATCTTCTCTTCTCCTCTTTCCTGAACCCTAGATCCTTACCCAGTTGCCTGCCCAACATCTCCACTGGGATGTCCGAGAAAGCTCAACACAGCATGTCCAAAACTGGACTTCTGCGCTCTCTCGTTTCAATGAAAACTCTTCCTTTTTCTCACATTCTTCTTTCAACCCATTGGGAAATTCTCCTCATTCCATATTTTAAATATATACAGAATCTGACCTCTGCTCTTTGTTCCTGCTCCCACTCTGATTTGAGGCACCAGCATCTCTCATCTGGATTGTTGCACGAGCGCCTATTCTGTCCTGCCTCTGCCCTCGACCCACCACCCCACCGCACCCTGCTCTCAGCACAGAAGCCAGAGTGATCGTGTTAAATGTCAGTCCTTGCTGGTCTCATGCTCATTTCTCACCACTACAGCCTTTCTGCTGTCCTCAGGGCATTGGTGTAGACTGCTGCCTCTATGTGAATGATTTTCCTCTGGGTCCATAGATCTTCAGATGTGTACTTAGGTGCCTGGGGCGTCAAATCCAACTCACAGAGCTGCTGAGGGTTATTTTCCACAGCTTTATTAAGATATAATTGGCATATATCACTGTATAAGCTTAAGGTGAACAGCAGAGCAGTCAGATTTACATGTATTTTTATATTTTTAAAAGTCAAGGGAAATACAGTGACATCTGCTGGACACACCACAAAGTACTAACTTCAGGTTCTTAGCAGTTTCAGCATTAGGTTGTGTCACATTACTTTCTTGGACATCCCAGTTGTGGGGGGAAAAATAATAATAATTTTGGAAGTTAACAAGGAAGCACTAAATGAAAATTAACATAAAACAAGAAATGAGATAGTTCTTTCCTAATTCAATTCCAAGGATCTGAAAGTTGTTGCATGCCCAGCTAGGCACCTGAAAGTAATCCCATTAGAAAGCTATCATGGTTATTTACGAATTCAATAATTTTTTTTTTCTATTAAGGAAAGCTAAGTAAGCATGCCAGGATCCTTGCATAGAAATGATCACCACTTACTCAGTCTTTACTGGTGGGTGGTGAGGTAGTCTCCCATCTGAATTCATACAACAGACTTTCCTAAACTTAGGGAGATAGCAGATACACTGGATAGCCAAAGTTTTAAAAAAGGTTCACACCATGATGTAAACTCTCCCTGCCTTAGTTTATTCATAGATTGCGTGGGACTTTTAATAGCATCTACCCTTCAAGGCATTTTGAGAATGAGAAGATCTGATGCCTAGAAAATAGTTAGCAAAGTGCCATGTATTCAAGGGACCCCAGGTCATTTAAATGAGTGCTTTGTCTTTTTTTTGGCTGAGACCTGTGGGATCTTAGTTCCCCAACTAGGTATTGAACCCATGTCCCCTGCTTTAAGGGCTTCCCTGGTGGCTCAGCTGGTAAAGAATCCAACTGCAATGCAGGAGACCTGGTTTCAATCCCTGGGTTGGGAAGATCCCCTGGAGAAGTGAATGGCTACCCTCTCCAGTAGTCTGGCCTGGAGAATCCCACGGACTGAATAGTCCCTGGAGTCACAGAGTCGGACACGACCGATCGACATTCACTTCACCCCTGCATTGAAAGGGCAGAGTCTTAACCACTAGACCACCAGGAAAGTCCCAGTATTTTTTCTTTAGGACCAATACAGCCCATTTATGTATAGGAGTTGTAGTTTGATGAATTCATCAAGAGAACTTTAGAGAATATGAGGGCACTCATATCTCTTACCCACCTCAGCTACCTTCAGTGTTTCACTTCTCATTAAGTCTTCTGGAAATGGGTGGTATTTGGTTTTTGTTTTATAATTTTCAAAGAAAAAGTATAATGTAACATTTTTGAGTCTTCCGCAAGGTGAATGGACATGTCTATGGAGTAACCATTCGATTTAGATGAAGCATAAGACTATCTCTTTTACTGAACATCTTCTAATCCCCTAAGGATGATAATTCACACAGGGAGTAGAATCTGATTGAGCACTCATGCCTGACTGTAAAAGTATTAGAAACCAACAGGAGAAATCAGCTTGGGTGGAACAGTGGATAAAAGGCTTTAGTGATAAGCTCATTCTTAAGATGGCTCTTGGATCCAATCATGTGGGCATTTGGGCTGTTGATTTTTTATTTTAAAAAATTAAATATTTAAATTATTTTTTAATTTTTAAAAATGGAAAATATTTTTTGAATTTTTAAAAATTAATTTTTTTAAGTTTTAGAGGCTGTGTCAGTTTCTACCATACAGCAACTTAAATCAGCCATACTTAAACATATACCCTCTTCTTT